GCCGAGTCTCCCGCGGTAAAGAGAATATGAAGGATGCCTTTACATCCAGGCAGGAAGCGGCCTCAGCCATCACAGGCGGCAAATAATGGGAAATGTGTAAAAGAGGAGCATTAGCCTCATAAGGGTCGCCTCTGTTCTTGTCGCGTGGCCACGCAATCCATCGTCGTCGCAAACCGGTGGTTTTCTCCTCCACAAACGAGAAAGGGCATTATCCATCCGACTGTTGTTGCAGACGAAGCGTCCTCGATTATTCCCGCCTCCTTCAACAATCGCGCGTCATAGACTGGAGTCCTCCGTGAGCTTTCACCCGATGTAAAAGAGGACGAAGGAAAAGGGGACCGCCCGACGCGTCCTCGGCGCGCGTCTCGTAATTGTAGCGGAGTGAGGATGAAAATCAGAGAAAAAGCGTTCCTCTGCTTTCAACCAGGGCTCCTGCCCTTCCGCAGCTTCTCCCTCCACAACAATGCGAACAGCGACGATACCTGGGTCAGCATTGCGGTGTACCTCCCCAAATATCAAACAGTATTCTGGGGAAGGTCGAACGGGTCGACGTGCCTCGCCAACTACGAGATCACGTGTGGATTCAAATTGTACGCTTCCACGATTGGAGCAGCGTGCCTCAACGCACCGCGTTCTATGGAATGCGCCGTGGCATTCCAATGAGCCAGAACTCGTTCGACTTTGGCATTAGTAATATTTGTGAGCTTTTCGTTGCGTCGAACCGTCCCGCATAACGTTATAGTGTCTAACGCATCCTGCCCCGTATCCTGACAAACCGCGAGGCGCGGTGGGGATCCGCCTTCGCCGTCTTCGGCGCCACGGGCCAATACAAAATTATGGTCCCGTCACGCTCCAGTGTGGAATTGTTGGGAGTGAAGGCCGCAATCTCAAACAAACGACTCGCCGCTATCAACGCAAGTCGTACGACAACACATTCCCCCCAATCGGTCTGGCTGTGGATAAATTGATTCATCTCTTCCTCTGTCAAGGGGCGCGCCCGCCGCGTCTCCGATCGCACCACAATTTTTTGTAACCTCAAAGCCGCCATGCCCAGCGGGGTTCGATTCATTTGCAACATGGACCGCAGAATCCTTTCTTGCCGTCAGGTCGATGGCGCCACGTCTAACAGTCCCATCAAAAAGACCGCACAACTCTCCTCGTTCATCGGCTGTTCGTGCGTGCGGCAAAAAGTCGTGAATTGCCCCGCTAGTGACATTCTCCGCTCCCAATTTGACGTCACCCACATTTCTCAAGCCATCTCTTCCGCCCTTCTTGTCAATTCCGTCGGCAGTTTGAACGATCGGATAAAGCGTCAGCAGTGCGGTGCGACGTATTCTGTGGGAATTGGTGGTGGTTGGTGAAATGGGTGTGACTGCCGTCGTCCGCCTTAATAAGCGGCGTGCGGCCCCTTTGCCGTTTTTTGACGTTCGTTTGTAGTTTGGGGAAAACCCTTTTGGAGTGTACTTTGCAAGTAGACGCGTCGTGTCCATAAATAAGGCACAGTTGGCATAGCAGCGATCGTTGTTGTTGCGATCGAGTTCCCCGTCGATCCATGAGAGACTGAGCCACCCTCGCGAAGGTGTCATCCTCATGAAAAGCCGTGCAAAGGCGGGCACGCAATTTTTGGATCGGGATGCTGGTGTCGAATTTAATCACGATCCGCATCCGGAAGACCCGCGGTATAATCCTGCCCAAGTCCATAAACTGCTTCTTGGGCTCCCGATGCAACTGCAACGCGCGCATCCACAAAACCAGAAATGCCAAAGGCGATTCGGGCGTGAGCGTCCCCACGGTGCCAGTAATCGCATGCGCTCCGGATTTAGAATAGAATTCCAAGGATGCCTTCATTCCAAATTTGCAGGACCCAAGTGTTGACGACAAGTTCAAGGAAACCCAGATTCTCTTCATTTGAACCGGAAACTTCTTCTGAAACCGGAGATCGAAAGGGCGAAGTCACGGGGTGAGGGAAACGCGGTCGCCCACAGTGCCCAATGACGCAAGAGTATTGACCCGCCGTCGCTCTCCCGTAAAAATGGGTTGGGGAATTGTGGGTGCGGCCGCGCCCCCGGCCATCAAATGCTCGTGTTGGGGCGGTGTCGATGCGCCATCCTTGGACCCGTGCGCGAGTGCATCTGGCG